CATATATTTTATTGACAGTGCGTTATATATCTTTACCAAATATGATTTAGATCAGTGCTTAAATTTTATTTAAATTGCAGGATATCTACAGACTTAAAAGAAATACGTAATATTAACAAATTAAACAGTCCAGTCAGTCAAGCAGAGCACTCACTCAGCAGAATTCCGAAAACTCGTAGAACTTAACAACACGTGCTATCTAACTACAATATGAATGGTCCGCTAGATGGCGCTTTCGCTTACAAGACCTTGCTCAAGTTACGAGCTTGAATTGAAACTGGTTTATGTTTAGCAACATAGATGCCGCCACTGTTATTTGAAAAAATAATGTTTTGTTTACTACGTTTTCTGTTCATTACATTAATTTTTTTATCATTGCAAAATGAAAGCGGGTGTTTTTTTCTTCGAAATGAAGTTTATTTACATTTTTTTTTCGTTCGTCTGTAGTCAATAATAAAATGTATTTTACGTACCTATATAAAATATTTTATACCTTTTCCTATGACATATTTTTACTTAAGCTATCTACTTGATAATTTATTTTACTTTAAGGTTGAAAATTGATTTTTACGTTAATGTAAACATTAATAATTATGTGTGTGTGTCATGTCTTTTGACTTTGAGTAAGGTTAATGATGTAGAAGACGGTTCATTAAGTCACAAAAGGATAAAACAAGACTTGCCGGTAATTAAGATTTTAATTATTAACATGTGCCTAGAGTAAATTACAGCTGAACTGTACGTCAGATAGATGTAAATTACTTGTTAGAACGTGATTTGTCGTGATTTCTGTTGCTAGGAATTAGTTCTTCACTAGACTGACTAGATTTTCTTCTGTTTCTTTTACTGTTTAATTTATTTTGTCCTAAACATACCTACCTTATTTTGATGCTACATAGATTTTTCAATAACTTATTTGAATATACATAACATAACATCACGCTTTTTATCCCCGAAGGGGTAGGCAGAGGTGCACATTACGGCACGTAATGTCACTGCACAATGTAATATCCGCTTTTCACGATTTTATATTATGACTTTATGAGTCTCATGTAATAGAGGGTGAGCCTATTGCCATATGGAATGATGGACACAATTCCAGGCACCGTGCTTCTACTGAGAATTAAAAAAACCCAATAGTACTTTGCCCGACCCGGGAATCGAACCCGAGACCCCTCACCCAATTCCTCAATTCCCTCGCTGGGCGAGGCTGACTCCTCCTCGTTGACTATCTCGTTGGCCGAGGGGTCGCAAGTGTGACTGTTGGGCAAGGGGTCTCGGATTCGATTCCTGGGTCGGGCGAAGAATTACTGGGTTTTAAAAAACAATCTCAGCAGTAGTACGGAGTCTGGAAATGTGCCCGGTATATGGCAAAAGGCTCACCCTCTATTACATGGGACTCATAACATAAAATAGTGAAAAGTGAGTGTTACATTGTACATTGTACACCTCTGCCTACCCCTTCGGGGATTAAAGGCGTGAAGTTATTTTGCATGTTGTATAAGTTTTTTCGCTCTAAGTATAGTACGTAAAAAATGAAAAACTAGTTGGTACTACTAAAGGGATGGGCTTGTAACCATACACCGGGGACTATTTCGGCCATTCTAATATACGCTTTAAGGTCGAATTAGCCCTCAAAAGGAATATTTAGGACATCTACTTGGCCTATATTGGCATGTGACAGGCTGAAAGGCATAATTTCGCAATTTGAGATAAGATTGCGTGTGTTTGGCTTGCAACAAATAGACTTATATGTACTTGTTGTTAACATTATTGGAAGTTTTTGATAAACAATTGAGATGATGACAGGGTACGAAAATTAAAAATATAATTAGTCCGTAAGTTAGGTAATGAAAAAATATTAGACACGTATTTTTTTATGTTGTCGTATAATAAAACAATTCTTAGATAAAATGTATCAAACTTTCGGAGCGGGGGCTAAAACGTCATTTCTACGTATAAAAGGTACATACATAGAAGTGACGTCACGCGACATTTCAATCCAATGTAGCGTCGAAAGTATTCGTTCCTGTAAGAAAATAAAAAATACGTATCTAATGATTTAAAATAACCTGACGGACATTAACATAAAAATTAGGCATCTACCCTATTGTCCGTGAAAAGTGAGCGTAATAGGTTCAACTTTGCATACTTATTGGAATATAACTACAGCAATTGTTTTAAAGCTTTAGTTAAATAACTATTAAGGACTTTATGCCGATTTTGACACCAAATCTTAATAAAAACTTGTATGAAAAAACTATATTTAAATCAGGGATCATGAAAATTTGATGCCATTCTCCTGATATACTCGTAAATGGCAACAATCTCAGAGGCTTTAGTACGAGTTCCTTTGTCGTTTAAAGTAATCGAAACGAGACGGCATCTGGCGCTCTGATTGGTTGGTTCATTGGAGCCGGCCAATCACAACGCAGAACGCGTACTCGTTACGATTATCTACTTTAAACCAAAAAGAAACTCGTACTAAGGCCTTTGATTTGTTTAGGTCTTTATAAAAACGTTTAATGACTCGTTAAGAGAAAAATCTTTTATTTTTCCTAAGTTGTACAATATTTCCGTAAGACTAGTAATGGTAAATTATCACATATAGGCTACATGTTTAAGTTTACCATGTATTTGCATTCCTTGGCCTGCCTCGTTGGCCGAGTCGTCGCAAGTGCGACTGTCGGGCAAGGGGTTCTCGGGTTCGATTCCCGGGTCGGGCAAAGTACTTATTTTATAAATTCTCAGTAGTAACACGGAGCCTGGAATTGTGCCCGGTATATGGCAATAGGCTCACCCCCTATTACATGGGACTCATAACATAAATAGTGAAAAGTGGGTGTTACATTGTACAGTGGCATAATGTACACCTCTGCCTACCCCTTCGGTGATAAAAGGCGTGATGTTATGTTAGTAATGGTAATTTTAGTCCCGAGTTATCCAGAATTTTAACAAAAGGTTACTTGTTATTATATAAAGTTACCGTGTAGTTTGGTACAAAGGCCGGTAATCCGAGGCTATAGTGACAGTCAGCAATAAATCATAGATAATGGAAGGTAATGTTCTATTTACATAACTTCGCCCTTTGACTTCGACCTTATGCCATGTACAAAAGGTTTATTTTTTATTTTCTTAATATTGTTTATTAGCCTACAATGATGCTTTTGTTAGTAAAGTTAATCGTTTCCCGGTTGTACAGTCAAAAGTCAATATTGAACTGATTTCATAATACTTCGTCAATCCAATAAGCTGCAAGTGATATCGCTTAGTATAATATTTAATTAGGATCTGTTTTATTGGATTTCGAAATTATATCGCTTGTGTATTTTGATATGACCTGGCTAACAATAATAACAGGTCGAATTTGAAATTTAGGAATTGTACGAAGTCTGGTATTGTGCTTGATGTTGGGTTACAGGTGACGCATAGACTTCCATTACATTGTAATCTCACTCAGCATAAGTAAAAACACACCTTCTTCGTATAAAAGGCATAATTATATTTATGACGTCATAAAGTGTAGTACACACTACCGGCCTTTGTCCGTTTGGGTAACGATACGAGCGTCTTTTTGGTGTTTATTGTTGTTATTTTTATTTTTAAGTCTTTCTCCTGGCTTTATCCCAAGTAGACTGCAGTGAGCACTGTGTTTTAACCTGATTCTGCCACACTTACCAAGAGTGATTACTGCCTTGAGAAAAATCAGATGTCACATTATGTTTTTCATTTATTTTATTTAGTACTCTTTTTTGTAGGCTTTTTTGAGGGGTTAAATCATCCAATGACTTCTCCCGCGCGGGTCCTACTACTGTACTTCAAGCCGGAGCCCCGGCAACCCGTTAAGCCCTCTGCAGCTACGTATTGGTATCAGCCCTATTGGGCCCCATCTGTGGTGGGCTGATGGTTCTTTAGTTTTTTGTAGGCTTACGCCCTACTGTGCATGATCAGCGGTAAATGTAGCCTATGTCGACCTACAACATAATCTGAAAAGCATCACAAAACAATAATGGCGGCTTTGATATGATTATCAATTCTCTTTATGACACCTAGTGAACATTGTTTTTTTATAATGTTTATTAATTTCAGAGTATGAGCACGGGCGAGTCTTAGTTTAATTGTGAAAATAAATTAATTACTTTTTTGAAGTTTTATCTTCGTTTAGAATGAGATTTAAAAGAAAATGTTTCTATGTGACATGAGATGACCATGCAATACCAACTATTCCAAGTTTTGTAGTGTGGTAGAAAGATATCGAATGTGTTTTAATCTAAAAACTATGTAGGTGTAGATTATTGTTCAATAATAGCATTATATACCACAACAATATCGGCGTGACTTTGTTCGACCTATTCACTATAAAAACATAGAAATATTGACATTGGCTTGAGATTTAGCTAACAGTTCTGTTTTGGAATTACCCACTTAAAGGTCAACGTTTAAAATTGTCTGAGTTTACCTGTACGTATAGTCGAATGTAGACAATATTATGTAAGAAGATTCAATGGCAAATCAAAAGAACAAAATGTTAGAAGTGAAGTTGCTATATTATTTTATACTTTTGATTATTTAGACACCGAATCAGATGCGAAGCAAATCTAAAAATAGAAGGAGACAGATTTTTTCCTTTTCATTGACTGGCAATAATAATAAACAAGAACGTAAGATAATCATTAATGGATTACACTTGTTATGTTAATGAATGTGCAAAATTTCTTTTTTTATCATTCACGTAAGAGAAAATAAATTCAACAGATCTAAAATAGAACGATTCAATAGCACAGAATATTTTGGGAACTGAAATAAAGTCTATTTTTCCAATGACTTGGAATGTGTAACGGGCTGTGCTAATAAAAATTCAAGCTCGCACCACGTAAAACGAATTTGCAACGTGTTTTGTCTCAGGAATGTAAATGTTATGCAATAACATTTGTTTACACTTTATAAAGAGCATTCGCGTTTATTTTAAAAAGAGTGTTAAAAGTAAAGTAGGCACTTACTGAATTGAAACTTCGCGCCGAGGCTCCGTCTTTTCTCTCTCAACTTATTCCTGAGTATCCTCCTCTTCAAGCGGTTAAGTACTACGTCAGCTTCATCCACACTCTCCGAGGAGGAAGTATGAACGACTTGAAACGTGCCACTCACTGAATGTCTTCTCGTTTTCGTAAATACACCCGTGTTCCTATGCTTAGGCCCGATCTCTGATATACCACGTCTATACATTTTCAAACGTTTCCTCATTTCAGAATGTACCGCATCGTCCGGCCCGATACTAATTAATTCGTTGTCTGACGTCATATCTCCTATTTTGCAGGTAGGACGCTTTTCAAAGACAATTTTCGAAAATTCCTGACGCTTAGGCGCCGCGCGTGAATTTGGAGCATATTCGATTGTTCGGCGGCGATGTAGAGCGAACCAATCCGGATTAGAGCTCACTCGAGCTCGTAAGCTTTTTAAGTAAGTGTTCAGGAAAGATATTTTATTGTGCGGGGGATTGTACACAACGCCGGATTTAGAACGAGGCAAATTATCGTTTTCGTATACTTTCGCGCACCCGCTCAGGGTAGCGTCATTGAAAGATCGAGATTTATGAAGTACCAGATCAGGTTCGTTTTCCTTATTGGATGAAATGTCATCGATTGCCTGATTAATATCACTTAACGAAGAAAGTGACGAAAAGGGACTGTTAGGAGTTTCGATTAAATTCTCCGAATGGTTTTCCAGATTTTCTTTATGTGTCTCGGGCGATTGATTTATTCCGTTACAAGTTTCGTTGTCAGAACTTTTGTAACTGCTTATTTCACTCAGGCCCTCCGAGTGAAAGGGGCTGGTCTGGAGGCTATTTGTTTCTAAATTAGTAAAGTTATTTAATGTGAGTTTACTTGGAATGTTTGACACACTGTTACTGCTTCGTATTATGTAGCGTTCATTATTATTTTTTGTGTCGTCGTTAATGTTTAGAGGTGTACGATATACTCGAGTGTATACTTTATCTCCCGAAATTGTATTGTGCTTTTTAACAGGTTTCCTAGCTATTATGTGACGGAAATCTTTTTCTTTCAATGATTGAGATGTTCTCAACAAAGGATCATCAAAATCAGAGCTTTTAATAGAAACATTCTCATCGTTTGTTTCAACGAGAAGATTTCCGTCGCAATCAAAAAGTTGTACAGTTGGAAATCTCATCCCAGGGGAAAGATTTCGAGTTCGTAATTCCCATTTCCTTTGATTCGGTTTTCTTAATTGTATACGAATAATGTTATCGTCTATTATAGGACCGTCACTATCACTAGATTCGTCTTTACCCGCCATTTTATTACTTTATCTCATAAGAATACAATGTGGTATCAGGAAGTATTTAAAATATTATGCAAACTATTGTCCACAAGACGCAAATTGTTTGTTTACAGTCAGCTGTTCTTATACATTCTGGCGCCATGCCAACCAAAACAATCCGGCATTCACTTCAAAATAGCACCAATGTCAATTTTGTTTTCCGAACAGAAATAAATAACGTAACGTGGTAAGGAGTTAATTCACTGAACAAGACACAACACACCGGTCACTTTCACGCACTGTAAAATGATTACTGAACATCACTCTGTAAGCAGGCGGCTGATGTTGAAAAAGGTTGCATAAGTTCGCGTGTGTGTCGATTGCGCGGATTGCACCGTCTAATGAGTTCGACGTCGATGGTTTTAATTTGTCCATGTCACAGATAGATCGCAGCATTGATTTTCACTGGGGTCGAGTGTCGGCCCGGTGCAAGCGCGCAATTTCCTCTCCCGAGCGCTTTTCCTCCGGGAAGCACTCTGGGAGGGCCGCGCGGGTTTTTGGTCGTTCGCGACTCCGGACATTTCTGCACTGAGCGCAAATATCTGAATAGTCGAGGAACTATAAATAGTGAACGAACGAGACGGCGATCTGGCTGGCTCCCCTTGAACCTAGTAGTACGAGCGGTGTTTGTATCGGACAACGTAATCTGTGACGTGTGTGCAAGTAACAAATGTTCGCACTGACACAGTTTCCCATTTGACCAGCCGGCGCGACCATATGCATTCGTGACTAATAGTAGCGCAGATGGTCTTTATATAACCACATTACGATTCTTTGCATTCAGAGAGATTCACCTGCGTAAAACAATTTGTAATAGATATAACCGTTGAGGTGATTCGCATTACAATGACATTATGCAATCTGTCCATAACTGGTTCATTGAACAATGATTTCTAACGAGCTGGATGTTAGCAGCGCGTGAATGTGCCAATTTTATTTTTGTAATATATCGTTCCAGAGTTTTAAATATTTGACCTTCAAACATCGGTTAGGGACGTTTTTACCTCCAGCGGTGAAGCATTTCGATTAAAATTGTTGGATGAATTCATGTCGAGAGATCATTTTCACACAAAAACATTCTTTTGAAAGTATTTGAACATGTAATTGGACAATATGGCGTCATTTTCGTCATTGTCGTTGGTGTTAGATTTGCATGTAATTACCATATGAGAGCAAATGCCAGATTCAAATTCGGTATATCTTTATGATTGTTTATACAGGTGACGTCAAAAGGTATGTGTATAAAAATAACGAGCGTCCGTGTACCTTATGAAATAATATTTTTAAAAGCAAAGGGAGTATTTCATACTGCAGTTATCTCAGTTAAAAATTAATCAAAATGAACAAAATATTTCTGTGTATTGTCGTGACAGAGCGTCCTTATTACGTTCATCGGAAAACATTTTTACTATAAAGCTGCTTCGCAAGTCGAGATACAGTGTAGTGTTTTCGCAAATAAAAATAAATTACTAAGACATGGCACAATTACAGAAAAAAATATTTATATAATCAAGTTCAAGTTAGGACTTACATTTGTTTACTAAAAAGCCTAGGGGCCGACGGCCGCCATTCTACGTAAAATATTGACAGAAGATCTAATTAGGACTCAGTGCTATACTGTTGTAGCAAGAAATAATTAAGTTATTGAAAGACGAGTACTACGGTACTAAAAAGTTAAAAAGAAAAAATCTTCTAGTTAATGGTTTACTTTAGTTTAATTAGTTTAGTTATGGTATGGGATTGTCCCAAGAGATATAACTATGCATCAATGTTTTAATAGATTAATTTCTCACTTTTTATTTACAATATAGACATTCGTACAAGAAAATAAATATGGAGCTAGATTACAAGGACCACAGTGTAACAAATATACTACATAAAGCTTTGATAGTCTGTGACTTTATCGCACCAAGGGGTGTTATTATTAATGGCACTTATACACTGGAGTCCACGGATCATTGCTTCGGTAATAATCGAGGCACTTCCCAACTTCTCCATACAGATGGCTTCAGATTTATATGAACTAGTGCTGGTGTGATTTAGGCAGGTGATTTGATGAATATTGTACGTGAGGTTATCGCAGCAAAAGCAAGAGATATTACTAAATAAATATAACCTTATATTTATTTAGTAATATCTCTCGAAAGTATTAAAAAACTATTGTTTGTGCCTGTCTTGTTTTTATAGTTGTGATGCCACACCTTGAAATAATTAATGAATAGACATAGTAGGTATTGTTTAGTATTTTTCAGAAAATTCTATAAAAAAACACAACAACAAAATATTTTTTATTATATTTGAGGGGGTCGACGTTTGACCACTATCTCGCCTGATGGTAAACGACGGCGACGACGCAATGCGCACGTCGTCCCATAAGCAACCTATTCAGTTGGACCTTGAACACACCCAGGTACCCTTCAGTAAATACAGACTCTGGCAAAGAATTCCACTACAATAGAATAATGTCATGAAAATAAGTTACATTGTAGACTCGCATAGTTTAGTGACTTGTCTATTCAGAAATGGACGGAAACGGACAAAATAATGATGGTGACGAATTAATTTATAACATTTTGGTTACCAATAATTTTATTTCTATTATTTATTCATAGAACAGAAAATATTTGCTATTGGTGGCATTTACATGCTTTCAATTTTATAAATATTTAAGTATTTTTTGTAAAACCAGACAAACAATATCGGTATGACTCCGGAAGTGTGCATACATTTTGTTAACAAATAAATAAATAAAATTCGTATTTATGACATATTGTTACCACACAGTTGATTACATTGGCTTAGCAATATAAATAACTAGCTTCTGCCCGCGACTTCGTACGCGTAATCTCTTTTTTTCCCGTTCCCGTTCGTGATTTTCGGTAAAAAGTAAAAAAAAAGTATTGGAAAAAAGTATCCTATGTCGGTCTCCTGGCTCTAAGCTACCTCCCTACCAATTTCCAGCCAAATCTATTCTGCCGTTCTTGAGTTATAAGTGGTGTAACTAACACGACTTCCTTTTATATATATAGATATATAGATTTTATTACATTTACTTATGCAAAATGTAATGTATTACGTTTCTTTTTTTAGGTACAAAATATACGTACGTACGTAGTACCAATACTACGGTTGTAATAAGCTACATAATATTATACAGGTACAGTACGTAAATTAACGTTTAATTTCAACTGCCGTTCATATTATTACTTCACTACATATTATTGTTGGGATAATTAATGTACATAAGTAATTATTCTTAAGATTTAGGAACTTATAAATACGTACAAGTAGCTTAATTCCTTTTTTCGGAACACAATACGGTATTTATTAATTTTTATTTTGTTTATTATTTTGTGTCGGAATGCGAAGGCGTGTACTTAAGTAGAAGAAACCTTGATATCATACTTTATTATATTATAATGTCTATTAGTTTACTAAGTATTAATAAATAACTTTTAAATCTTCAAAAAAGATAATAACGGAATCGATTAGCTATTCTCGAGAATTACGACTGGCGACAAACTCACAATTGAAATCGATGATAAGACCTGAGCTATTTTTTGCAGTGTACCTCTATACTAATTCACCCAACATCCATTTTAAGTCAGCACCCTCCTAAACCAAACGAGGTATCAACAGTCTAATTGAAGAAGATAGACAACACGCGTCTGTTTCTTAGCACCTGTCAATCTGCCAAGCTCCCAAAGAATTCAATACCAAGCATTTATTTGGCTCCCGATGAGTGCCATTTGCAATTCATTATTCAATTACCAACTTCTCGTATCCGAAAGGTAATTTGTTTAAACAAAATTGATAGCAGAAGTAATTCATTTAATTGATTGATTCAGTAATGAGTTTCAATAAGATTGGCTGTTAAATGCCCAGGTAGTTTAGTGGTAAAGCTTTGTAATTGCATCTGCCAAGTCAGGGTTATGTCTGAAGTGATTTTGGTCACATTTGGATTTTTTTTTATTTATTTAAGGGAGGAAATCATCGAATGATTTTTCTCGCTTGAGTGATGTCAGATTTTTCCTGATTAAAAACTACTCCGTTCCTACTCCTGCAGTTCGAGCCGGAGCCCCGGTAACCTTTAACGTTTTCCGTGGCTTCGTAGCGGCATCAGCCCTATTGGGCTCCATCCGTGGTGGTCTGATGGCTGTTGTAGCTGTGAGCGTACGCTCGGGTCTGGCCGTATGGTTGGGGTTACGGTTATGTTTATGGTTTGAATAAAATCAAATTTATTAATCTTAAACTTTTGAATTACTATATGAGTATACTATAGTCATATGGTAAGTACCATGTGGACTAGACATTCAACTGAAACGCAATCTATAACCCTCATGTCGAGCGTGCAGATTACCACGCAGATTACAAACCCTTTTTTCTATTTTAAAATTTCAACTATGGATCTAATTTTCTTGAAAGTTGAAAGTGGATGCACGGTAACTGTTATATTTTTTTTTAAACCTTGCCCCACACTAGCATTATCTCCTGTGTCGTGGGTGCGTTTACAAACATACAAGTTCACATACATATGACACCCAGACTCGGAACAACAATTTGTGGATCACACAAAGTGTTGTTCCGTGCAGGAATCGAACCCGCGACACGTTGCATGGCAGCCGGTTACCCAGCCACCAATTATGGTCATGAAGCAAAACTGTATGTTTGTAGAAATATTCTTACAAAAATAAATCATTTGAATTTGCATACATATGAATATTTAGACGATTGCATCTACTTCAAACAGCTAAGACTAACAGACATCTATTTGTCTAGTCTAGTGTATTGTTTTCAAACTATTATTATGCAACGAGATATATTCTCGAATAGTTCCAATCGAGCTATTTTTAGTAAATATTGATGGCCTCTCTCAATGGGCAGCTTGCCAGCTGAGAATACATGCCATAATAGTAATTTATGGTATTTTGGGTTAAGGTTGAGAATGTGTGGAATAGTAACACCTTTTGATCGCCGGAGTGGTAGGCAGAGGTGTTCGTAAACAATGTAAACTTTACTAGTAATTATATAAGTCCCATATATTATGTGGGGGAGAATGTGTGGTACCTATTCCGTATTCATCATCACCATTATCATTATTAACAGCCTATAAGTGGCTGCTGCTGACCAAAGGCCTCTACCCGCACGGAGAAGGTTTGAGCATTAATCACCATGCTGGCCTAATGCTAAACTTATAATTAGAAATTACAAGACCAGGTTTCCTTACCATATTTTCCTTCACCGTTTGTCAGTGGATTCTAGATTAGAAAGTACATATAACTCGGAAAATGTCACACAGGTACTTGCCGTTGGTGGGTTTCGAACCCGCACTCTCATGCATGAGAAGCGGGCGGGCGGAATATTGGTTGGTCTTATTTGGTGATGTATGGTGTGTCATTGAAGTGTATGTTTGGTATAGAAATTCTTTACCAACGATATTTTTTTTTGTATTAAAATTGCCTTACAATTTTGTTTTGACTAAGAGGCCAGAAAATGATCAAAATAA